TTTGCTCTGCCTAAAAATATTCACTAACCTGCGCCTATCAGAATGCCAGGCATTATTTGTCAATCCTTTACTAAAGAGCATCATACTCATGCTTTCTCTTTTTCTAACCATAGCAGCAAGAAGTGATTCTTCTCTCCTTCCCTCCCTCTCTATTCTAGTAATAGCTAATTATTTAATTCACTTCTGTTGCCTTTAATCATTTAGAGGGAGGGAGGAAGAGGGGGAGGGGAAGGGAAGAGAGAGAGAGAAAAAAAAAGAGAGAAATTCCTTATATATGAATAGATCCACTGTGTCACTCTTACCAATTAGACAGGCTATGATGTATTGTGAGCCTTTGGTTGACAGGGTTATGTTTTGAATATCTTTGCAAACATTTCTGTCTGTCCGTCTCCCTCCCTCCCTCCATCTCTCCATCTCACCTCTTAATCTCTCCACCTCTTCATCTCTCTCCGTATACACACTCACTCACAGAGCTAACACTGTACCTTGTGTACAATAGGGTTTTTTGTTTACTGAAACCAAATGAAATCTCATGAAACTCTACTAGTCTAATGAAATTGCCATTATTAGTAGCAAGCACCACAGCTGTTTCATATTGGGGGCAGAGGGAGAAGGGGGTTTTTATTTTATTTTTTATTGGCAAAACACCCTACATATACCAAATTTGAATCATTTTTAAATTCTGACTAGCTGATAATCTAGCTTGTTAATCATTTTCATTGTTTAAAGCTACAGTGATATAATATCTTTTTGAGGTTTGAAACATTTCCGTAGAGGATATATGAGAATATCATATTGAACACTTAGGCCAATAATCTTTTGGATCAACGAGTCCTACTTACCTCATTATCATTTCATACCTTTAGTACGACAGTTATGGGTACTGTGGAATGTGATTTGGTATTAAATATATTTCTACCCAGGAGAATTTATAAATTTTTTTCTAAGGACTAAATTTAAGTTTTGAATGATCTTCAGTAAACTGGAAGCATATGATCTCACCAGTTCACTTTGTTCTCAGTATTTTGGGTATATAACACTAAAGTCTGCTATCTTTTTCATGAGATTGGCTAACCCCCTTGAACAGGTATTTGCTCAAACATCTAATCCATAATAATGGAAAAGTTAACAAATAATTTCATCCTCAGTGGGCCTAGTAGAAATTTATTCCAATTCACTATTGTATTTAATTTAGTTAGTTTGCTGTCCCTCTACCTATCCCCTTCTTCCCCATATACATAGATATGTATAGCCCCCATAAAACTATGATAAGACCAAATCATGGGCTAATTAGTCGGAGTGGCATCAATAATCCTTTGGGAATATTAGAACTGAATATTAGAACTGAATATTAGAACTTCCATAACTACAATATCAAAAATTTGCCTTGTCTACTGCCATGCCACCCTGAACGTACCCAATCTCATCTGATCTCGGAAGCTAAGCAGGGTCGGGCCTGGTTAGTGCTTGGATGGGAGACCATCTAGGAATACCAGGTGCTGTAGGCGTTTAAAAAAATTTTTTTGCCTAATTTTTACGCTGCTTCCATAGTTTTACATTGTTCCTCTATCTCCTCTTTCACCCTCACTTTCCATACATATTCCTACGGATGTTAATCTCTTCTCATAATCTTGTCCCTGAAAGCTTCTATTCAACAAATGTTTATTGAGCATACTTCAGCCCATGTTTTAACCTATCAACTAGCAGGACGTGGTCTATTATACCTAATAAAACCCTTCTGGCTTTATCTGAAAACACATTTGTCAAACATCCCACACTTCTCTTAAAACCTTAATGACATTTCTTCTTCCCTGATTCCCGCATACCAATAACTAATTCCAATCTGTTATTTCAGCCTTCCTTCATACAGTCTCATATATATCATACCCTACAAACTGGACTCCTTGACTGTTCCCAAATTTGGACACATACTGTGCTTTCTTGCCTCCTGGCCTTACTGATTCCATTCTTCCTCCCTAAAATAGCCTGTCTCCCACTTCTACCCATTAAAAACTTTCTATCTTTTAAAGCACGGAGTTCTGAATTTGGAGAGTCTATAAACTCAGAGAAAATGAAATTTTGTAGGTGTACTTAAATACATTTTTCTACATAGAGGGTTCACAGTTTTTAACATATCCTCAGAAGGGGGCCTAGACTTCTCCAAAAGTTAAAGAATAAAGAATTTCTATTTTCTTCTACATATCTGAACTACACTTTTATTTTTGTCACATATGGCCTTGTTTGTTTAATTATACATTTATGCATATATACCTTATCTCTCTTGCCAGATTACAATTTCCTTTGCATTATGAATTTTTTATCATGATTCCCTACATATTATCGTATATATGATAGATACACAGTAACTGTGTAATAAATAAAACCCATCCTTTAAAAAATGGAATCAGAGCTATGATCATTTGATGAGATAAGAATTCCCTTCAATGTTTTCATTTAATAAATTTAATAAATACATGTTAAGGTTTTTCTTTGTTTGTATGCTTCTCAGAAGTTTTTCACAGCCAGGTGGTCACTAAATGTCCTGCCTTCCCTTTGGACTAATTCATGAGCCTCAGAGAATACATGGGTATTGGGGAGCCTGTGCATTTCCACATAGGCTCTGTCCTTGCTCAGAAGCTTGTCATCTTCCTTCGCTCAGTGTTTACTTCTTGCTTGTCCTATCTTTCCATGTTTCCTTTTTCTCTTCCCTAGCCTCTACAAGTTCAGCCAGACTTAAGTCAATTATGGCAGGAGATTTCTACAGCCAAAATAAATAGTCCATTTTAAAATTCTTTATTACAAAGTGACACAACCAAAATTCTCAAGGTCTAAAAAATTCTAGAAAGTCAGCCTATCTTTAGGGAACCCAGTTCGATCACGATGTTTTCCAGATGTTATGTCTCCCCCAGAGCTCTTCAAAAACTGGCCAGAAATGAGGGGGCCATTTCTTAACAGTGTAGCCCTCTAGAGAGTTATCTGAAAATCTGAGACCACTGTAGAGTACCAACGTTAGTACTAGAAGCACGATTATCCAGCTTTTTTCCAGAAGCGCAGCTTTATCCAACTTAAAATCCCTAACAAACCCAGACACTGGATTTCTCCCTCAGTGTTGCCCAGCTATTATGTTTCTGATAGTGTTTACCTTTCATCTAAACCTATAAAACCACAAGGTACAAATTTTATTTATTTACTTATAGACTGAAATCTGACCTCAAATTTTCTACCCTTAAACTTTAATAAAAATGTAGGCATTTTAGCAAATTAAAGTTTTGAGCAAATTCTTCCTAAAAATGATTGAAAGTCATTTCAGCTTTTTTTTATGTTTTCTCTTTGAAAGCAAGAGCACTTATTGATGCCTTTTTAAGAGATATAAAACTGAGGTCCTTTATAGTTTTACTGTTTAACATTTCGGCAAAATGTTTGTTTACTCTACATTTATATTACTCTTTCTATAATGTATCTTGTTTCATTTGTGCAATATCACTTTCTTTATATTATTTTCAAATATAATGATAAACTGCATTAATATACCATCTGGCTGCAAGAGTGTCTTAGAAGCCAATTTAGTTAATTTTGCGATCTCAAAAAAAACTAACAGTAGAATAAATTGTATTATATCATCTTAAGAATTAATATCTGTTTTAAGAATATTTTTTCTAGAATTTCTAACCTAACATTCTCCTTAGTATTACATTTTATTAACTCCAGGGAAGAACTGGTAACTTGGGAAAATAATATAAAATTAAATTAAAACTATTAATTCTCAAGTTATTTAGAAGAAAATTTTGTGTAATTGAGACTGACATCTTTGTATAAAGTATTCCAGCGTAAAGAAATTGCAAATTTGATAGAAGAAAAAAAAGACTTTGCTATGGATATCGCCATCCTTTTCTTTCTTTCTTTTGATTGAAGGAGGCAATATGTTAAAATATCAAGGCATCACTAATTTCTATAGCCAATGTAAAGTATAAGTAAGTTAACTATATTTTAAAGCATTGAATATTTTTATAATTGCTTATACTGAATAATTGATTTGATGAGATGGTAGAAGTCAAAATAATGAAATCGATTCTTCTCTCTTAAATTACATAAAGTTATTTTTTATTTAACTTTAGTTAATATTGTTAATATAACCTAGTAACTAAATACAGGGTATTTTTATAGTACATGCTCTAGTAGTTGCTCTTAAGTATCTTTAAATATGAGGTTATCAAGAGCACATCTCATATATTTTTGGCACCTGCTTCTTAATTATGGTGTTATAATTGCTTATGGTATGCTGAGATTACATTGAATGAAACTGTTTCTGTGGTTGTCCCTTTTCTTTGTTGGCTCTGAATTATTTTCTCTTCTACATTCCATTTCTGCTGTCATTTCTAATCGCTCTTCTGCACCACCATATCCTAAAACATTTTGTAGGGCCCATGATTACATCCTAATGTTTGTTCATACTAATGACCTTCCACTTCCAAATTTTAATACAGGGTTAAGAGAGGGGCGAATAGATTTAGTAGCTTTTGAACATTAATGAAGGTGTCTTTGCACATTTGCATTAAAATGTTAATGCATGTTAAACACAAAATCTGCAGTATAGTTTTTCTTTTATGACAGAATAGAACAGATATTAAATACTCTAGGTGAGAGGCTATTTAGAAAGAGAGTGGTTACTATCCCTTATCTTCAACTATGAAAGTCAAGAATTTTTTTCTCATAACTAGAAAAATCCACTGGGGTTCCTGCTCCTCAGGTCTCCATTCTGATTATAATTAAACAATGTTAAAAAAGGGTTTACTTTTGTGACTGGACTTATTATTAGTGTTCCTATTTTTATTTTATTCTCTGGGGGTGGGGGAAGATGGGGGACATACACATTTAGTAAGAGCTATTTATTAGCCACCATTCAAAAAGAAATTGAACTTAAAAAAATATCAAAAAATCTCTGGTGAGCCTTTTATTACTATCTTGTCTTGAGCCCTTTTTTTAATGACATCTATTATCAGATTGAAATGGCGATTGAGACGCTGCAAAAGTCTGACGGTCTGTCCACTCACAGAAGCTCTCTTCTCAACAGCCATGTAAGTTGCCTCTTCACGTAAACTAATCTCTTGCTTGTTCTGCATGTGTTGCTTGCTTCTAAATGCTTGTTTTATTTATTTACTTATTTATTTTGCTTCTTAACCTTCCTTTCTCAGCCCCTTATGACCTCTGTATCACTTAATGGCTATTTTGTACCCTGGAATATCTAAAAAATAGAGCCCCAGTATACTGCTTTACTAGGTTTTTGTACTGTTTGGGTACAAATTTAACATTTCGAAGTTAATAACAAGCTGCTATTTATTTGAAAAAAGTAATTAATGGGAATTTTAAACATTAAAATTTTTAGTTTGATATTTATTTGCTATGAAGCAAATGCTTATAATCTGCATCTCTATGTTTGTTTGAGACAGAGAAATGATTGGGCCTACTCGTATGTCCAGTAATATTCTTTAAGGGGAAAAAGATTATTAATGCCAAAGTCAATGGTAAACTGTTTGAAAATGATTTATTTATTAATTAGACTACATTAAATGGACAGCTACCTAGGGCCTAAGACCTAAGGAAAATGAAAGTGGGCCAGAAGAAGCAAGGCTATAGATAAGCCATAAATTGCTAATATTTGAGATAAAACAGGAATACCGTTACTATTTCTTGAAGCTTTTAACTGTTACCAGATGCAGCATCACCATAATACTGGTAAGTGTAAGAAGAGTGATGACAGTTTTCAGAAGCATAAACATTTTCATCAAATGTTCAAATTTTGGGAAACCAGTGAAAATGGTGATTGAGTTATTTTATTACCATGGTTTCTGAATATATAGAAAAAAGTAAATCAACCTATGAATTAAATTTGTTTTAGGTAGATCTTTTGTTAAGATCAGCAACAATATAGTAATAATTAATTTTCCTTCCCAACTGACAGAGTATATATTCTTAAATTTAGAGATAAATTATGATTTTTAAAATTTTCCCCATATATTTATTGTGACTGACAAGTCCAAAATTGGATTACCCAAATGAAATAAAATATTATTTTTTCAACAAACCTAAAAACTTTGGTTCATAGAAAATGTTTTTACTATGCTTTTTAGAGATTCGAATTTTTAAACATTTAAATTTGATATTTCAACATAACACTAAATACTATTTTTGTGCACATTTGTTTTTAGATGAAGTATTTTGTCTTTTTTTTCCCCCAAGGGGGAAGTATCAGGGCAAATAAAAACAGTTTAACCACCTTGGAGAATGCTTGCAATTTTGATTATAGATATAAATTTAAAAATAACATATATTGGCCCTTCTTTTTCAAACGCTTCAAGAAATATGATTTTTCCTTTTTCTGAAAATTTATAAAAAATGTGTCACTCTTTTATATGTTTCATATGTATATCTCTGTTGTGTTAGCATGAGTTTGTAGTTGTGTGTAAGGGTGATTTACTAAATATTATTAGAGTGTATGTTTTGGGGAGCGGGTGGGTAATGACTAACTGATGTTTTTGTTTTGAAAATGGCAAGTGAAACCATTGTTCACTTTTAACCAAAATATTCAGGGACTTTTAAAAAATCTGGAACTTTCCAGTTGCTTTTTTTGAAGTTTCAGACATCTAAGAAGTTGTGCTTTGGTGTTCAGTTAGCATTTTATTTTCATTTGAAGTATAAAGTTTAGTAAAATATGTGATATGTTTAATTTTAACTTGAATTGCCCATCTTAATTAGTATTTTCATGAACAAGAATTTTTTGTATATTTTTATTTCTTAATTTGAAATTTTTCAAATATGTTGGAGTTTTTTGAAATTATTCTCTTATAGAATTCATGAAGTAATATTTAGTGTTAATCAATGTGTGAATTAAGATGCATAAACAACAGATAACTGTTTGTTACTCATGCCTTCATATTTTTTATGATGTAGGGATGACAAATCTTCCATACTGTTTACCAGAGGCATTTCAGTGTATAGGAAGAGTGGGCGTAAATGTTACTAATATAGTGATAATCTTTCTCTAAATGTCCTGATTCATTTTTATTACACCTCTAAGATACAGTTAAATTTTTTAAAAAACATTTATAGTCAAGTCTTTAGAAATGCAAATGATTCTACAGATAGTGTGTAGAGTGGAGAAAGGATCAGTGTTTCTGCTAATCAGTAAGATTTAGTTTCTTCCTGAGCACATAAGATGCTGTTGTCTTTCTGTTCTTGGAAAATTAGTGATTCTTCTAATTCTTGTTAGATTTATCTAGACAACTGAAATAAACTACTGCATGTATTCTAATTGAAAACCACCTGTAAAGGGTATTTTAAATTCTGTTAACTTAATTGATGATTTTCAGTTGTGTGAAAAAATTTCAATAGAGAGGTTTTTTAAATGAAATACTGTTGATATTTTAAATGTCAGTAGACTAGCAGTTGCCTTTATACTTCACCGAATAGGACAAAATACAGAATTATTTGAGGTTTATGGGATTCTTTGAAGTAGGCACAAATTCAACTTTATGATAATAGTATTCTGATTTATCAGTTTCTACAAAAGGTCAGTTTCATTAGGCAAAAAATTAGGAGAAATTGTTAATAATTTGTATCTCATATTTATTAGTTTCTAAAGAAGGGTCTTAATCATGATTTTTGAGCTCCGGGTCTGTTGTCATTCTATTTTGGACTATGGACTAGAACAGATTTCCTATTTTCTCTTTTTACATTTGATTATTCACAGTAATTCAGAAAACTCTTACTAGGGTCAAATCACAGAAATAATCTCTTAGTAGAATCCATCTTGATTGCTTTGTTTTTCATCTTTTCTGCACACTAAACTATGGAGTATATTGCTTTTTCAGCATATTCTTGCTGTTATCTATCCCTCAGGGGGTAATATTCATAGTGTCCCAGTATGACTGAGTACAGTTACACTGAATGCTTTGTTTTATTCTCTTAACAATATTAACATAATGGCAATTATTTCAGTAGTATCATCTGAATAGGCAAATAGAAAATATTTATTGATGAGTGAAAGTTCTAAGAATATAAGGATTTATATGTTTTGTCCACCAATGCATCCTTGGTGCCTAGAACAGTACCTGGTACATAGTAGATGCTCACTAAATATTTGCTAAATGAATGTGAGAAACAAGTAATAGAAGGGAACAGGCCTATCTTACTTTCCATATTCTAAGTACTTTTACTAACCAAGTGTGCATTTATTTGGGGACTTATACATACATTGTTTGGGGACTTATACATACATTGTTATCCAGTACACTTCAGTAAGTATATGTGAATATTGCTAGAGAGTGGTCTTCTTCCTGCATAACATTTGAGTGAAAGAATATATGGCCACTTTATAATTTCCCCCTGTGCAAACTTCAGTTTAAAAGTAGATAACTTATTTTTCCTCTAAACAATCTAATTCTTTAAAAAATTATAGCCAAATGTTATATCATTCATCTCCATGTTTTTAGAATGGTAGTCTTGATTTAACTTAACATAATCCAGTCTATTGTATAATAATTTTTATTTAAATGCTTTTATTTCTATATTTTTATATGTGAAGATGCTGCAGGTAAATGATGCATAGTCTGCCTAAATCAAATTAGAATATTGTAATTTTCTTCATTGAAGACTTAAGTTTATTTTATACTCCTACCCCTTCTCTGTTGTAATTAATATAAATTGGCATTTAATAGTTATATCATATCCAATTTGTGATATTTTAGATTGTAAATTTGAATGCAGAAATGTTCTTAAGTGTTAATTGTTCCCAATTTTCACATATAAAGTTCTTCAGCTTATGCATTTTTTAAAAAAATTCCATTTAAAGTATGTAAAAAGCTTTAGGCAAAAGAAAATAACTTAACAAAAAAGCTTTAGGGTATTTATTTTATACACTTTTCACAATCTAGCAAATAATTGTTTCATGATTTTTGTTGGTTTTAGCTACTGGAATATGTATGGCTCAAATCAAAACCTTATTTGATACTTACTTTCCCTTAACTTTGCTGTATTGTAAATATAAGTTATGACAGAAATAAGGCTTGTCAAAATGCGTAATATCATCAGTGAACTGAAATTAAAATGAATCCTAATGGATAATAATCCATCTGAGAAAAAATGCCAAATGTTACATTTAGATGTTAATTGGGGAATGCAATATGTATTTTTTTTTTTTTTATTTGTCAATCAGTATTTCCCTTTGGGAAAAATAGGACCTATTCATCTTCCTTAATCTACCCTGATTAATATAGATTAAATGCAAAGGTTGAAAGATGCAATTATCTTGGTTTCCACCCTTACAGGAATCTCTTAGTTCATTAGTAGAATAATCAGCTTTTAAAGATAAAGGTTAAAAGTTGCTATGGTATTTTATGGGCTTTTAAAATCACAAGTGTAAACGAATATTTTATAAAACATTTTATAAAAGAATAAAAGAAATAGTAATAGTTTAGTTCTAAATTACTTAATGTTAAGGGTATTGAATTCTAGTGTCGAAATACATTTTATTAAAGACAAAAACCAAGGGAAAAAAATATCTTATAACAGGCATTAACCTAACTTCCCTTGGGCAGTGCATGGAGTGTATGCCTTTAGGTTATACTTAACTTCCAAGTTTCTCTTACAATAAAATTAATCTTTTCTTATACTATGTTTTAGACCCAAATGTCTGATTTACAATTTCATCACAGTGTCAAAACTTGAAGTTTAAATACTGGCATGTAGAATGCAGATTATAATCTTCAGCTAAATCTCAAAATCTTATCTGGTAGGTCCTAAATCAATTTCCAGTTATGAAGTGAGCTTATAGGAGCACTCTCCCCTGATTGTACAGTTGTTGGCAGCCTTCCTCCCTGGAACATTCACGGCCACAGCAGAGCCACCTCCATCCTTCAGGGCTTTTACCTCTGCTTGACCTCTTTCTGCTCTTCCAAACTGATCTCCAGCCTTCCGCAAGGAATAAAACGTCCTCTTCCTACAAACAAGGGCAAAGAACAAAATGTAGCTTTGCTGCTGTCAAGGTTATAGTTGCCAGAATACCCACTCTTGTGCAATTTTTCAACCAACTAATGATTATTATATATATACACACACACATACATTATATACACATATATGTAAATATATATGTATACTTGTACACATGCGCACGCATATCACAAATAATCTCATTTTTAAAAACTGGTTTAGAAATGAAGAATCTTTAAGAATGTAAAACCGTTAGAATATAAAACCATATAGTAAGAACAATCAGTTTGCAAAACAGTTCAGGTATTTGACTTTCAGAGGACTACACCGTTTCAGAGGGCTACATCGCCAATTCAATAAAAGCTATATTTTCTCTAAATTAGTCACTTGGGACTTGACTAATATCATTTAGGCTTCTGAATATTTTAAGCCAACTTCTGCTGTAACTATCTTACTCCTTCTGTGAAAAATTTTCTTAATTAAGAATGGTCTGATTAACTTTTATTTATGTAAACATACATTTGGACTCAAATATTTTATATTGAACCTTAATATTTGCACTAGTTTTCACTTTTCTAAAAGGCAATTCATGAAAGAACCCTTCAAATATTTTATTATTGGATTTGCTTTTTCAAATTATTTTATAAAATTTTTTGTCTACAGGATAATTTCTTGTTAATGAGAAATTAGTAAACTCATTTTTAGATATTTGTCTTATAAGTAATTAAATATTAAAAGAAGATTAGTAAATAGGACAGTTTACAGAAATTTTCTATTTGTATCTAAACAAATTATTTTCATTTGCTTTATATCTTATTAAAAGTATTTTACATCAGCTCTATTTTTATTATTTATAAACTTTTGGTTATAGAGTTCATGTTATAAGATTATTTTTTGTGATTAGAAAAGTAAGAAATATTTGATTTATTTATTTATGTATTTATTTAATAAATCATACTATTTTGGCTTTGACAATATGCAATACTTTATCGGGATACATATACATACATACAAATATATCTTTGAAATTTTTAACTTACACATAGTGTGTGTTCCATGCTTGTGGATATGGGTACTTCATTGGTTCAGTTTTAAAATATTACTGTTTTTCAAAAAATATTTACAGTTTTTAAATGTTTATCATTCTGAAATTTTTTTCTTAGTATTTCTTTAATATTCCTTAATCTCAAGGAATTGAATTCCTCAAAGAATATTTTTATATTCTTTATTTCTACATTCTTAATATATTAAGCACACCAATTGAAGGCTCTATCTAGTATATGTACGTAAACAAGAGCCAGCCCTTTTGTGCAGTATGGTTTACTAGAAATACCCTAACACTGTTCAAGTGAGGAAACAATGCTTTCAAAAAACCCAGTCATCTTACCGAGGCACATGGATGAAATATGTGAGGCAGGTTTGATTGCCACATTTTATGTGATCTCCATCAGTTGCATTTATAATCGTCTTAAAATTTAAAAAGAAAGTCTAAAGAGACATTCTAACCCACTATTATAAGCAGAATACTAATCTGAGTCTTAAAAACTTGATTTCCCAATGAGTTTACCTCCTCTCCTTTACAGTAAGTTAATACGTTATTCTCTGTCATCTTAGAATACTCAGAAATCATATTTGAGTGCCTCTGGAAACTTGTTTACTCCAAAGTTAAAGGTGATTCATATCCAAAGAATTCTTTTGACCCGTAATTTATTTTGTCATTATGAAAATGAATGTTCATTTTGTGTAATCTTTTAAAAATTTTATAGAAGAGGGTCGTATGTGTTACAAAGGCAATAGGCATGCTTAAATGTACATATTCTATTCATACGTGGTTCATAGAGAACTTCCATTCTTCCTGGCCAGAACATGATTTTATTTTTAAAAATATTCTGCTCTGTCTTATAAGCTTGGTGGCCCTGTTTTCTAAGCCAACATCCGTATGGGTTTAATGTAAGAATATATGAAATTATAATGGTTCTGGAAAATTCATTTGTCATGGCTAAAGTCAATAATTCTGAAAATATTTTTAATGAATTATTTAAGGGTCTGAAAGTTTAGGTTCTGAGTTTGATGACAAATTTTAAAATATGAAAGCAAAATAGAGAAATGTTTTAATTTATTTGAGTGTCCATATTATCATTTTTGGGATATAATTGTAAATTCCTAGAAGAAAGAGATGAGCTCACGTTCATTTTTTAGCACTAGGTGCCCAGCACATCTCCTGGCTCATAGTTGATGCTTAATAAAGGAATTTTTTAGCTTTCATAACTTATATTTAACTTGAATTGCGTGTAAAATATCAACTCTTTATCATACCTCTTATATATGGCATAGAAATTTTGTCGAGGCAAGTAATGTGAAGCATTCACTGCTTTTGTAGATATAACAACTGGTGTGTGAGTAATAAGGAAACGTGTGTTGGAAACCAGACTCAAGCACTGAGATAATACAAGATCTTAAGAAAGTCATTTAAATCTTTTTTAATTCCCCTTTTGTAAATAAGTAAATGGACAAGTTAAAAATTTAATTTTGCTAATATTAAAACTCAATATATGCATAAGTTAGATTTTCTAAACATTTCATCCTCATTCTGTACTTTAAAGATTTTTTTAAAAAAATACAAGACAACGTAAAACTCTAAAATGTGAACTGTAGACTGAGAAGATATTGCTTTACCAACTATAATTGTAGTTTGTCTTTCAAAATTATGAAAAAACATAACTTTGAGAGAGAAAAATTCAAATGATTATAATAAATGATTTCTTTTCATTACATATACATTTTTTTTTTAACTGATGTCTAGTGAGTTTCTTCTCTTTAGGGAAGAAATGACTGACATTTTTTCCTTCCTGCTTGCAGAATTTATCCCAGTAGTTAATACCATTTTTGTATTATCTTGTGTAAGTTAATTAGATAAGTAAATTAGAATTCTATAAAAGTTAATAGAACCTTAATATAAAAACTCATACAAGGAAGCCTGCTGTTCATGTGTTATAACAAGCCAACACTAAAGACATATTATGTGTCATGCCGCCAGGTTTGGTAACATGTTTTGTTCTGTAACAATTGTAAATTATTTTTATGACCAGTTAATGGGATTATTTGAATTCTCTGAAGAGGTATTTGTCTCCAAAATAGCAATCCATACAGAAAAAATTAATTTGTCTCTACATGTGTTTGAATGTTTGTAGGAATGGAGATGGCGTGAGATCAGAAGTGATATATAGCTATGCTTCTGAGAGTTTTCAAAGTCAGATTACACTATTACAAGGCTTGATAAAGATCTAAGTAACTCTGTATATTGTAATTACAGGTGTTGTATTTCATCTTGTAGATATTCTGGTAAATTATATGGTTTCTTTGTGTTTACTCTGTCCTATTTATACTAGCTCCAGTGGCTGTTGGACAATTATGAGACAGCAGAAGGAGTGAGCCTTCCCAGAAGCACTCTATACAACCACTACCTACGACACTGTCAGGAACACAAACTGGACCCAGTCAATGCTGCTTCTTTTGGAAAACTAATAAGGTCAATTTTTATGGGGCTACGAACCAGGAGATTGGGAACTAGGTTAGTACTGAAAATAAGATCATAAATCAATCTCTTTCAAATTAAACCAGTTCAGTATATCGTTTGAGCAAAAGTACTTGATTACAGATAACATATAAAGAAGAAATACAGAATTGGCTGTTTATAAAACCCCTCAGGAAAAGGAAAGGTCATATTCAATGAATAGACTGACTACCAAACTAGAATGATGCTTTGTCCTAAACTTCAAATGAACCAAGCTTTCAGAGCTGATTCTCGAATCACATAGGAATGAACAGACCAACCTATTAATGCAGAATTTACATATGATACTTCAAAAATTAACATATATCACTATCTTCTCTTTTTAAAGATAACCGTACTAAAGATGATAAGTAACATAATGAATAGAAAACTACATATCTTGACTCTTCCAAAATTAAATTGACGTATCTTTATAAATAACTCTTCTATCTGAATGGTATAAGAGAGAAATTAAAACTGAGTGTTTGCATTTCATTTCTGGAAACCAATTAAAAATCATTTGGTGAACTTGAAAAATATAGGTGTTCAAAGTCCTCGATAATTACATGGTGTTACATAACTCCTTGGTAGCCTTTTTAAACTCTCATATGATTCATATGGTTTCTCATATGGTTTCATATGATTATGAAACCATACATGTATGGAAGTAAAAATATTTCATTGCATGGAAGCCAATAAAGTGAAAAACACTATTAGTATCTATGTTTCCTTCCTTTGGAAAGAGATATGCATGTTTTTAATAATCAAATATAATGAAAATAATACCTAGAACTGTGGAACTTAATTTTTACTTTTCTATAATTTTTACAAATTAGCATAATATGTAGCTGGACAGAAAGATATGGATTTTTTTATTTCCTAAATTTTATAGAAATCTGTATTAAAAAGTGTAAACATAAAGTTATACACTATATAACATTAGATGGTATGCCTTTAATTAGTTGCAAGTCACAGCTTCACAGTGTTCTAGTAACAGGTTTTTAATATTCTTAATAAATAAACAGAGCCTGAGTAATTGACCTCATTATAAATTTATGCTAAAAAGATGAGTGAGTGTGTCTGTTTTATGAGACTTGCAAGGTCTGTATGTATTGAAAGTGTGAATTATTCCTTTCTGTTGCATTTCAAGTGATTGTATGGCTTTCAGATTCCTAGAGGTTTAGCTCTCTCATAAAAGTGTTTTCTTCTACCTGTACTAGATTTCAGCCCCTTGAAAAAAAAGCTTTTTGTTTCTTTTTTGTATTTTTCCCCCCAGTTTCGTAATAACTACAAAACTCATTATTGGAGGCCTAATCTGCTATCTCCTAGCTGATGACTCAATAGTTATGCATACTGTGCCAATATTTTGAAACTCTGGGCTTTATTCAACATTCTAATAGCTGTATTGTTGTGCTTCTTTTGTTACTGAAAAGGATTTCAATGGGTCCTATTTTGAGGCTCCATTCAAATAGTGAAACACATTTTTAAAATAGAAAGTGACAAAATTGGGGTTCTTTGGGTTTGTGAATGAGAGGAATCCATACTCTGTAAGTACATATTGCAGTATTGCAGCATTTACTTGCTGGTATTTTTCCTCCTCGTACCCACCCCAGTATGAAACAATGATGTCTCTCGTTTCTATTAAAATTGTATGTGGTGTTTGTAATTAGTGGTGAAAAGCAAAGCCTAGATGAAAAAGAAAAAAAGAAATCCTATGGGCAATGTTTAAACAAAAGCTGTTATGAGGATAGCAGAACTCTAATATAGAAAAACTGACAGTGGTAGGGGTCGATGAGCCTTTCTACCACGGAAACTGTATGAGCACTCACCTTCTACCTCTAAACCAGGGAACAGAAAGAAAATCAGTATAAATTATGAGACAATTTAACTAAGATATTTATTTCTTAAGCAAATTGTAAGCTGAACTGTTATTTATCCATCGGCGAATTCTTTCAAACCAGAACCAGACCTTTTCTCAAGTTTTGGAACCAAGTAAAAGGTACATAAAATCACCATGTTTCTAAACAAAGTTAAATCAAAAGGTACATTTTGTAGATCCGATTTCCAAATTCAGTTTAAGCAAAGACCGTGGGACATGCTGATCTCCACCATCTCCTATGGAATAGAAAGAACTACCTCCCAGCAATACAACAAAAATGCTGATTTGTAAGAAACTGAAAAGAGACTAGACACATCATCTGTTTTGTGGTCTCACAAAACGACGTTGTACTCTGTAGCTTTGTCACTGGCTGTTTTCTGGCATCTTCTGCTTCCCACCTCTACCACTACTCCTTATCATTCTCTACTTTGTACAAGAGAACACTGCTGATTGGGTTTGTGGTATTTTTTTGGTTTTGTTTTTTGCTCTATTCTGCAGTAAATTTTGGAGACAAGATGTAATCTCTACAAGTGAAAAGCCTTTTTTTAGAGGCATTTGGTTTTTATACTGGTTTATTTTGCTGAAACTATGTAGGTAGTCAGATACCCTACATTTAAAAAAAAAGCAATATTATTTATATAACAAGATTTTAATGTTTTTAGAAATATATAGGGTTTATTTAATATATGTTCTCTAATCTTGGAAGTAAAATTCTGTTCTACTTTATATAAAATATTTAATCCACACCTTGCATTTCTTTTTGTAAATGAAAGAAAAAATTGAAAAGAGCACTGATATCTTGCTATATACAGGCTTGTGAAAACTATTTTCTCTGCAAAAATTTACATACTTAAAGTGTTAGTTTTGCAAGAATTTCAAATTTTATTCAGAGCAAAACTTTGTCATTTCTAATAACAAACTTGGTCTTTCTCATGAACATGATGAAATTGTGACTTTTTATTCCAGGTAGAAATTTGCCATTTTCACAGAGAAATTTCCCTATGTCTGTTGTAACACATCCTATTCAGCCTGTAAACTAATACGAATTCATAAGAACAGAGACCAAAAATATGTATTTCAAAATGAGTAAATAAATGCATGCTTCTTTCTAGGTTTTAAAATATTAAATATAACAGACTTCACCACTAAGTCTTGTGTCAATGAAGTTATCTTCATCATCCCTGCAGTAATAGAACTTGAAAAATATAGAACTTATTTTAGATAGCAGAACTAAGATTTTTTTTTCTGTTGGTTCTATATAACCTTTTTGTAATAAATTCTTATTTAGTGTGCAACCCTTTTATCCTGTTAATGAATTTTTGTTGGCCAGAAATTTTTTCCTACCATTGCTCCTTCCAAATTAAATTAAAAATATAAATTTGAAAATAAAATGTAACTTAAATGGGATAAATTGACTATTTCACTAATATTTAAGACAAAGTTTATAAGAATAGATTTTTCTTAGGGCCTTGAGCTGATTGATTCAGAATCTTAGTTTGATTCTTCAAATATAGACATCATAAAAATATGTAAGTATCCAGCATACAGAATCATAAATATATAACATTAATAATTGCTTTTATATATTTTTTCCAAATGTGAAGTTAAATGGACATCCTATATGATTAATACTGATTTGACTGATTTTTTTGTGTTTCTAATGTTTGTTGTTATTTTATGAAGAGGAAACTCCAAGTACCATTACTATGGGATTCGTGTCAAACCAGATTCCCCTCTTAATCGTCTGCAAGAAGATATGCAGTATATGGCTATGAGGCAACAACCCATGCAACAGAAACAAAGGTAGACTCTGGATTTATCATTGACACGTCAAAACTATATATTTCTTTAGATGTTCGGTCCTTTTTTTTTCTGAACAAATAGAATAGATACCTAATTGTGCAATAATGTCACTATTGCTGGCATGCTTTCACTACATACTGTTGTTCTTAAATATGATTTAGAATTTCATGGATCCTATCTATTTTCCAAATCTTTTAAAATTACTTATCAGTCAGCCTGTTTGGCCCCTTTTAAAGTTAAATGTGACATCCCAAATTATTCAGACAGGAAAACTAAACACAAAACGTAAGAGCATACCCAAGCAAATACCAACTGGTGAAATGTTTCAGGAGGTAGGAGTGTCTTACTTGCTATTCTGTACATCCCTCAAGTCATTCTTTTTGACATTGTATAAAATTCCTGCAAAACGTTTAGGACTTCTTACATTTTCTTTGAATCTAACTTTCATAGATGTAGAATTATAGATATTAGAGCTGTAAGAGATTTCAAGCATTCATGAATGGATGAATGGATGGATGGATGGATGGACGGATGAACAGAATCATAGATCTTAGCATTTTAAAATATCTCAGTGTAGTCTAGCTGTACAGCCTTGTGACTATCAAAGCATTAACAGCCCTGTTTTTTCAGTCATGTCCCAGAGAGGTTAAATGATTTGCACAAGCCTGTAGTGTGGTTACATAGCCAAGGGCCTTCTGTCTCATGTGACTTATATCATAGTTTAGAGTAAATAAAATGAAGGTGCTCTCTCTATTTACCAATATAGCTCAGCCATGGCAGTAGTTATAATTTTTCTTTTCAACGGAGCATGCAGAATTAGTAAGGAAGCCTTCACATAGGTAATCAGGTAATCTGCATCAGTCTGCCTAATTCATTGTTCTGGGATATTTAGTCACCTTGGCCACATCTCCACATCTATACTAACTTAGTCAGAAATATTAGCCGCAAGTCATTGCTGGAGAAAAGGACTACTTACTCAGTAGTCCTTTGTCTATTTAGTCAGCAAGCACTGACTGAGTCTCTGCTATGTACTAGGCCCTGTGTTCATGGATAAGACATAGTCCCTACTTTTTGAGGAGTTAAGAAATTAGAAAGGGAGGCACATGGGATTTTTTTTTTTTTTTTTAAGTAATGCAATGTGAGAAGTGCTAAAATAATGCATCAACCAAGGACCTATTGAAATAACAGGTATTTTCTTCAAATTCCTGGAAGAGAGGATTGGGAAGTTTCATAGAGAAAGTACTATTTGAGCAGGGACTTAGAGAGATCAGAAAGAGAAGACCATTCAGGCAGAGGGAATAATGTAAACACAAGCATGGAGGGGTAAAGTTCACGATGTCTCTGGTAAATGCTCTATGATTTGGTGAGGTTGGTATTGCAGGAGGAGAATTGAGAAGGTTGAGTAGCTTAGTGGGAGATGAGATTTAAAAAGTAGATTGGATCTCAGATTAAGGGATTTGGTTGTATATGAAGCTAATAACTTTGTTCTTTGTGTAAAGCATAGCTCTGAAGCCATGAAGGCTTTGAAGCAAAACAGTGAGACTTTCAGATTTTTTCTAGAGAGATGACTATTTGATTTTGTGCAAAACATTGTTAATGGAAAGAGAAAAGAAGTAAAGACACTTGTTAAGTGGTTTTAACACAGTCATAATTTTTAGTGCAAATGACCCAGACTGAAGAGTCAGGTCAAGATTGGATATTATATAAAGGTATCTCATGGGTTTTACGTTTTTAATGCACAGATTCTCAATCTTATTTTTTAAATTGCTGATTCCTATTTTTTGAGATATAGTCCATGAAATTTATTAAGAAGGGCTCTGAAAAAATAATAAAATGAATTAAAGAACAGTTTCTTTTGTGATTAGAGATAGAGATTGTGTGAGTTGTAATAAACTGTTATTATCTTGGGTTATGGTTATTTTTTCACCTGTTAGTGGCAACACTTAACAGCTTTTACTTTATGGTGTGGTCTCTACACTCATGCATAGTAGCACTACACAGTGGAGATGATGGTGAGATCAAAGGAAAAAAGTTTGATTCAAAAATGACACATGCTCAAACTTAAAGATGAACAAAAACTTGGTGAATGACACTTAAGACAGCTGTAGCCTACTTCTTCCTGTGATATAACTGTAATGAAGCCTAGCAAGTTTTCATGGAATGGAAGCCTTCAGGAGACATTCTTTGTTTTAAAAGTCTGGGTTAGGTAAGCAAGACCTAGGACTTATAAAGACCTCCTTGTGAAAAAATTCCAGAGCTTTCAAGGTTAACAGGCCATGAAAACCTGCAATCTCAGTTTAGTAGTAATTGCTTTTAGAGTTAGATGTAATATGAATATATTTAAGAAGTGATATAAAATTCTCAGTAATATTAACAAATCATGCCAACTTTAGTTTATGTATGCTTTTTCATGGAATAAGAATGTTAGAGAACCAAAGAAGTATTGACATTTGATTCGTTAGAGTCTTTTTTAATTACAGAAGTTTTAGATTATAGACAGTTGCTCTTGGAATGGTGTCTTGCTGACTGATTTCAGTGTTCCTGTTATCAACTTCAAGGACCCCTCATTGGGCTTAGCAACACAGAGGGAGGTTCCTGTTGTCACTGAAGGATTCTATCAACTGGCAACATCAATAGGCCTCAAGTGAAGCCAGTCACCCAGTGTGCAGAAACACTTTGGATAGGAGAGGAAGAGTTTCTCTCCCTAAGTCTGGATGTAAGGAATAAGAAGTGTATTTGTTAAAAACAGTGGAAAAAGAACTATTATTTGTTTTATGGCTTATAAAATTCTAAAACTCAAATGATTCTATTGAATATATTAAAATTCACATAAGAAGAGACTGTCATTCTCCTGTTAAAATACAAGTGACATGTGAGAGGTTTGAAATATTTTATAGCAGGCACTGGTATGTAATATTTTAGAATATTCTAATTGTTTAAATGCCTCTAGGTTTATTGTATGCATCTAAATATGCACATCTTCTGTAATATAAATTTACATGTTTCACATGTTCTTATAGTAAGAAAATTCAAGCACATACAGTGATTATCTTATCAAATAAAAGAAGTTTTAGAGCTCAATTTGTACATCTTTCTGATAAGTTTGGAATCATAGTAGTTGTATAATGATTCTTTGTTTTATATAGCTTTATAATTTTTAGGGCCGCTTTATATATGGTATCTTATTTGAAGATATGATAGGGTAGTAGAGGAAATTTCCACTTATCTACAAATCAGATTTCCAGCGACACCACCATATGGGACATAGCCATGAGTCTGGAAATAAATGGAAACAGCTTTTGATTGAAAAACAGATGTCACAGAGCCTGTAGTTTAGCTTAATTAAAAAGATGAAGCCATCCTCAAGCCATTTACCTAAAATAAAGGAGCAGATTAGAGCCCACTTGATTCACAGGAAATCATGAGATAGAACAGCTGGCAAGAGGAAATATAAGTAGACAAGGGTCTTCTATTTGCTTTTGGGTTATTCAACAAAGCAGTCTGTACACATTCAGTGGAGGGACAAATAGATCTAGGCACTCTAGCAGGCCCTTTGAATATCCCTTTAGTGACTAGAATCTAGTCTAACACAGTTTAGCAGCTGTTTGGCATATTGATGACATTATAGGTAATCAAGAAGAGGTTAAGTATCCTGGTTAAGGAAGCAGGAGAATGTATGATAGTTTTGTTTTGTTTTTTTTAATATCTTCTGTTGAAAATATTTCAAATGAAAATAACATCTGCACTTAAATGAGATAATCTTCAGTTTTCAAGGAAATTCACTCATGAACTAATTCGTTTAACATAATTTAGACAATAAATAAATTAGGTTATTATAGAGCAAAACAGATCAGTAATTTTTAGCTCTATAAACTAAGTAAAATATTTGCAGTTTATTTTTAATATTTAAAAGAAACACATAGAGAGTGTTGGTACATATATTTTAGTTATTCTTCCAAATCTTGGTAGCAAAAGTAGTGGATTAGAGCCAAGTGCTTTTGACAGTGTTCTTGGTTGTGATTGATCCCAGAACCATTCTCAAAATAGTTAAACTGCAGTTATCATTCCTTCAATAAATATTTAACCAACAGTTGCATACAGAATATGTCCATCACATCTAAAAGAGCTATCACAGAATTACAGAATGTTAGAGGTGGAAAGAAGAAATCACCTACTCTAGCTCATCCACTTGATGAGAAAACTAAAGTCTGTAAAGGGTAGATAACTTACCCATGATTATATAGCCATCAGGATTAGAATCCAGTCCTCTTGTCTTTATTCTTATAAGAATTCCACCCTTAAAGAGGTAAGATAACCCAAGCAGAGACATACACATGTAATAAATGTTTTATGTATGAAATAAAGGGAAGATCACATTTTAGTATGTCCTAAAAAAGTGAGGAAATGTGTCGCTTCCTGACTCTTTGAATGGTCTCTTCATAGGAATTGGATTCTGTGAAAAAGGAACCTTTGTGGCACTGAAGGGAGGGAAATAGAGGTCAGTTGGAAGGATGGTATAGCAAGGCTTCTTTTGCTTCGGCTGTAGATAGATGTGAAAGCATGCATGGTCCTAAGGAGTGAGGAAGGACAAGAACCTTTGTCATTAGAAGACCTTTCTTAATGTAGGTTTCATAGACAAGTGAAAAGAAGCCTGTATTTAAAATTGAGAAATGTGGATTTGAGTATAGGCTGCTTTCGTACTTATGCAGAGTGGATGACTGAACTGCACTGAATCTTGGTTCTTCATCTGCAGAATGGAAATTAATAATAGTCTACTTCACATTGTTTTGAAGTTCAAGTGGAAAAAATACATAAAGGTTTTTTTTGTAATTAGAAGCAATCAAGTATTTGATAGATAATGATTATTATTATGATGATTATTATACTATGTGCACTAGAGAAAAAATATTTCTTTAAGAATAAAGGCTCTTTTGGAGAAGAATGAAGCCTGGCAGTGGGGCACGTTTGTTTTCCATTTCTTTATATCTCTAGGCCAGTGG